GTTTTTGTTACCAATCCAGAGCTTCACTTTATCACAGGCTTCCTTCCATGTGATCTCCTGTTCTGCTAACAGCAATGGCCTACAACTGGGTGTTCAGGATTATCTGAGGTTGACTCACCACAATTCCACTGTAAAGCCTCAAAAGGGGGAAGGACGCGGGGGCAGGGGAGAGGTGGGGGTGGGGGTGAAAGGAAAATATTGGTGGAAGCAAGGTTTTGGGAAGAGGGGTAGGGTGGGGCAATAAGGAGAAGGCGCAAGATGGAATATGGAATGGATAGAAGGAGAAAGGTGTTGGTGGAGGGATGGGACAAGGATGGGAAGGTTTATGTCTAGTCACTAAAGCAAACTTCATAGTGGCCAGTGACTTCAACATAGAGCTAGTAAATGATGCTTCCCCCCACCCCATTATCATCTCACTCGCTGCACTTTCTGCTTCACAGGCCTCTGTCCTTTGGCGGCTTCGCTCTCACAGTTTGAACACTTCCTCCCTCAGTTCAGGGCGATTTACTGCCTCCCATATTTATCCCTGGAAGTGTTTTAGGGCATCACTAGACTGACTTCATCCTGTCCTTGACATCCAGCATTCATTAAGAATGCTGACATTTTATTGAAGTGGAAGTAATTACTGGGAATTGCTTCTCTCAGAGATGACTGCGTTAGTCTTAGCCTGCTCAAAAGTGACAGATCCAAGACCATAACATTGAAGTGACTGATGTCTTTTACCATACTAACAATGGCATTTATTTAACCACTTTATCATTTGGTATATCTTAAAGTGTTTCAGACAGTGAATTAGTCTGAGTTCCGCTGACCATTATCTAATTAAAATGTTTTAAGATGATACAAAGATATGATATTGCTGGGGGCGATCCAGTATAAGAGGGGAGACAAACTTCAAACTTGAGTGAGGATGTTGCCTGGGACGGAGCATTTCAGCGATGGAGGGAGGCTGGATAAGCTCTGGTTGTTTTCTTTGGAGCAGAGAAGTTTGAGATTGGACCTGATGGAGGTCTATAAGGTTATGAGGGACGTGGGGCATGGTGGATAGAAGGCAGCTATTCTCTTGGCTGAAGGGTCAGCAACAAGGGGCATCATTTTAAAGTGAAAGGCTGGATGTTTAGAGGAGATTTGAGGAAAAAGATAATTCACCCAGAGGGTGGTGGGGTTCTGGAATGTACTGCTTGGGAGGGTGGTCGAGGTGGGAAACCTCACAACCTTTAAAAAGAACTTGGATGAGCACTTAAAGGATATGGGGCTAGTGCGGGAAAGTGGAACTGATGTAAATTTACGGTAGCTTTGAATTGAATTGAATTATCGCCCAGTCAGCAGTTAGGAGTCAACCACATTGCTGTGCCTCTGGAGTCACATTTAAGTGGGTAAGGACAGCAGATTTCCTTCAATGAAAGTAAAGTCGCCATAGCCCTACCCTCTCATTAGAGAGAGAGAGATAACTGGTGGTGGTTTAACCTGAGGGTCATCAGATCTCAGGCAGGGGGAGGGATAACCTCAGCCGACCTGGGAACTGAACCCACGCTGTTGATGTTACAAACCAGCCGTGCGAGCTTTTTGAAGTAGCAACTGCAGGGATATCACCAGAAGCAGTTATTCTCAGGCCATCGATCTTTATGCTCTCACAAGCAGGGGGAGTCTGGGTTTAACCTCACGGCTCACTGCAGTGCAGTTTTCCCATGGTACTACCCTGGAGTGTCAGCCAAGTCTATGGGGCTTGAACTCTGCACACCTTCTCAATGCTGAGACAAAGAGAGAATGTGCATTTCCATAGCGACTTTCACCACCTCGGGTTTCCCTCCAAAGAGTTGCTTTCTGAGATGTGGTCACTGTTGTAATGCAGGAAACACCGCGGAAAATTTTCACACAGCAAGATCCCACGGACGGCACTGTGGTAATGACCAAGTCACCTGTTTTATTTTGAACAATTTTGGCTGAGGGATAAATATCGATGATGAGATTGGAATGAACGCCACCTCCATTTGTCTAAATGGTGCCCATTGGATCTTGTACATTGACCCCAGAGAGAACATGGGGCCTCAGTTTAATATCTCAGTCAGCGCCTCTGACATTGCAGCACCCTGTCAGTGTTGCCCTGGAAGGGTCAGTCGAGATTCAGTGTCGAAATCCCTGGAATGGGACACAAATCCACAGCTTCTGGCTCGTACACAAAGCCATTACCCCCAGAGTCACCAACTTCTTGTGATCAGAGTGGGCCTTAATAATTTGCATCTTTATGTGATAGTTTATGTTCAAAGCTAACAGCAGTGTTGAGGTTAACGGTTGGCTGACTTCTTTATTTCCCCAGCTGGTCCGTTACACCACTGAGGGGCTTCTGCAACTTGGACCCCTGGGATCAACAAATTTCCTACCCGACACCAAATGTTTAATCGACGACAGAAGAATCAAGTCCCCAAGTCTCAGAAAATGTGACGAGGTGCCCAGAGCAAACCAGAAACTCTGGGATTTCACACAGGTAATGTTGTTCTGTTTGCTCTGTGGTAGATCCAAAGGAGAAGGAATGATGGAATAATTGGAAACTATTCATCAACATGAGCTGTTCATCAGAGGGGAAAGGATAACTGAAAGGGGGTTCAGCCCTTGACTATTATGGGTCTGGGAGTGAGGTACTTGCCCAGATGTATTGAGAATCAATAGAGGACTTAGGTTTGACCAACTGGTGACTGAGTATGGAATCGAGCTTGATATTCAGGCTGTTGTGACAATACCCCACAAACATATCATGCCAATTTAATTACCAAGTTCCTCCCCCACCCCGCCTCGTTCGTTCTCCACAGCCCTGCAAGTATCCCCTATTTAAGAACATAGAACGGTACAGCACAGTACAGGCCCTTCGGCCCACAATGTTGTGCCGACCTATTATCCTACTCAGATCAAACTACCCTGCATACCTTACATTTTACTGCTATCCATGTGCTTATCCAAGAGTCAATTAAAAGTCCATAAAGTATCTGACTCCATTACCACTGCTGGCAGCGCATTCCACACACCCACCACTCTCTGTGTGAAGAACCTACCTCTGACATCTCCCCTATACCTTCCTCCAATCACCTTAAAATTATGCCCCCTCGTAATAGTCATTTCCGCCCTGGGAAAAAGTCTCTGGCTATCCACTCTATCTATGCCTCTCATCATCTTGTACACCTCTATCAAGCCACCTCTCATCCTTCTTCGCTCCAATGAAAGAAGCCCTAGCTCCCTCAACCTTTCCTCATAAGACCTATCCTCCAGTCCAGGCAGAATCCTGGTCCATCACTGTCTTATGGTCTCTCTGTGGAATTTGCAGCATATGTTTTATAGTCCACATTTCAAAGGCATACAATTTCATCCACAGACCTTTACTTATTGTCTGGGATTCTTAAATTTACAGGAAAGCAGAGAAAATGCAGCATCTGATGAGTGTTTTCCTTGTAACAACCTTGAGCCTCCCTTTTGTTGACACATCCATCATCTTCAGAAAATTACCTCTGGCCATCTTTATCCTTCCTCTACCTTCTGCAGCACATCTGCCACCTTCTGTTATCATTTGTCCCAATGTCACCCCATCCACTTCAATCCTCACTCTTGCTTCTTCTAATTTATTCCTTCTAAACAACCTTTCTCTTTGGTGTTCACACTCCACCTAAATCCTAAACTTCTAGACTAAATTGTACCTTAAAATTATAACTTTTTATATCTTAATTCTTTAGCTTAACTGATATTTTGTTGGGACGCTTCTGATTCTGTGGGTAGTGTTGTGTCATGTCATTTCAGTTTCCCTATCTGAGGAAGGATGTTCTATGGAGGGAGAGCAGCAAAGGTTTACCAGAATGATTCCTGGGATGGCGGGACTGATGGATGAGGAAGGATTCAATTGGTTAGGATTACATTCACTGGAGTTCAGAAGAAGGTGGGGGTGAGATCTGATAGAAACCTGTGAAATGCCAACAGGACTACACAGGATAGAATCATAGAGTCCCTACAGTGTGGAAACAGGCTTTTTGGCCCAACAAGTTCACACCGACCCTCAGAAACATCCCGCCCAGATCCATCCCCCTATAACCCACCTAATCTACACATCCCTCAACACTACAGGCAATTTTCCATGGGCGATCCACCTAGCCTGCACATCTTTGGACTGTGGGAGGAAACCGGAGCACCCGGAGGAAACCCATGCAGACACAGGGAGAATGTGTAAACTCCACACAGACAGTTGCCCGAGGGTGGAATCGAACCCAGGTCTCAGGCGCTGTGAGGGAGCAGTGCTAACCATTGAGCCACCATGCCGCAGGAAAGATGTTACCAATGATCAGGGGTCACTCTCTTAGGACAAGGGGTAGACCATTTAGGACAGAAATGAGGAGAAATTTCTTCACCCAGAAAGTGAGGAGCCTGTGGAATTCTCTGTCACAGAAAGCAGTCAAGACCAAAACATGATAAGGAGGTGCCAGTGTTGGACTGGGGTGGGCAAAGTCAGAAGTTACACGACATCAAGTTATAGTTCAACAGGTTTGTTTGAAATCATAAGCTTTCGGTGTGCTGCCCCATTGTAAGGCGAAGGCTTCACCTGAAGAAGGGGCAGTGCTATGAAAGCTTGTGATTTCAAATAAACCTATCGGACTATTGACCTGGTGTCGAAGACTAAAACCGTGTATGATTTCAAGGAGTTGTACGCAGCACTTGGAGCGAAAAGGATCAAAGAATGTGAGGAAACAGCTGGAGCAGGCCGTTGTGTTGGATAATGAGCCACAATCATATTGAAAGGTGAAGCATATTCAAAGGGCAGAATGGCCTACTCCTGCTTGCATTTTCTGTGTTTGTGTGTGTGTGTGTACCACACGTTTGTTATGTTCTTCTCTCCAAAGTGAAAATAAAATCAGAAAACTATGCCGTTGACAGTTCATAAAGAGTGCGATTTGGTAATACACATTGACTTTCTTTTGCAGAATGGGCCGATTATTAACAGAGACACAGGACGTTGCTTGGAGGTGGAAATGACCAAGGATGCTAACTTTGGCCTGCGATTATCCTTGCAGAAATGCTCTGGGCAAAAGTGGATAATCAGAAACTGGATCAAACACGTCAAGCACTGAGTGCTGATGGGATTTATTTGCTGCATCCCAGTGCATCTTTGTATATCTGCTTCCACGTGACATTGTGATGTGTAACCAAGCAGCCCCAAGACGTTGTGGGGTACACAGCGTGGGATCACCTAGTCATTCTTGATGAAGGGACACTTCCAGTCGACACTCTCATTTGAAAATTACTGACTACTGCACGGAATTAAATGAACAATAATGATGTGCCTTTTCTCACTTATAACTTCTCGACTGGAAACCAGCCCCTCAAGCATGTTTCGGTTTATTATATTGGAACAGAAAACTGTAAATAACAACATTAAAACAGAGTTAAAATGTTACAAGACTAAAAGCTACCATTTTAAAAGGGGAGGCAGGAGCAGTGGAAACTAAGGGGATCAGTAAACACAAGTCTTGGAAAGATGAACAGGTTATTAAAAATGCTCACACATCAGATCATGAGGTTTGTAAATTAGCACACAATGGGCTATATTTTCCCAGTAAACAGGTAGGAGTCCTGGGCTGGGGGACAGGGAGATAGCAGACACAGTACTGAGTTAACCTCCTGACATGATTCCCCAGGGGACATGTCCCTGGGACAACTGTGAACCGGGAGGTGGATAACTAGTCTATTAGTCGAGCAAAGGCTCCACTTTGAGGCTGTGCTAGGCCATCTCACTCCATCATGACAGCCTCCTGGAAGATGGCCATGGGAATACTAGAGCTGTGTTCCCCATTAGTGGGGCCTGCAGGGTAATGACAGACTGTAGCCCCATCCATGAATAGATCTGCAGAGGGGTGCTCACCTGCCCTGACATCTCTCCTGGTGGCCTGCCATTGCTGAGGATCCTCTAATTGGACCTCCGGCCTTGAGAACCTGGCAGCCACCTGTTATGGGATGCCTAGTGTGGAGGTGTCCAGTTATGGGGCTGCCTCTGGGGGTTTGGGTAGGATTGGTGACAATCCCATAGATCTGGCTCCACAGGCTGATTTCACAGCATCATAGATTTCCTTCTGATCTCTGTGGTGTGTGTGTGTGGTGGAGATTGGTCTGATTTCTGATGCAATGAGTGTTTTACGTCTTTCTGAGCTTGGACAGTGCTGTGAGTGTTTCAGGCACCTTCATGCTTGGATAGTGACGACCTGACATTCAGGAGAACCTTGCAGAGGTGATGCTACTTTCCACAACTCAAATGTTTACGAGAGCTGGGGCCAAGATCCCTCAACCAGTGGATTCACTATGTTCCTGAAGGTCACCCAGTCACCTTCAGTGCAGGTTTTGCTGTAAGTTCCGCTAAGTGATTTCTTCATGAGTGCCCACGTCAGCTTTGAGACACTGAGATACATCTTCACCGTTATGCCTTTGAGGGCGTCAAGGGGGATGGATCTTGAGTTTTAGCTTTAAAACATTACAGTGATGGGTCCATCAGTCAGCCCCACATTTGGCTATATTACCATTCTTTCTCAGGATGATACTGTTGATGAGATGCCCATGTACAGAATAATGGGAGTTCATCCAAGACATTGTGACCCAAGAGGCAAATGACAGCGTTGTTGGTTAACAGCTCACCTCCAGCAAGAAGATACAATTTCTGTTACCTCATTTATTGTGATCACCCCTTTTCATGCCTGATGCAATGCCCAACTATTCCATTGAAGTCGTTGAGAATGATTAGCTTGTCTGACTTTGCCACAGTAGCAACCACGGAACAGAGGTCATCCCTGAACTTATCCTTGACTCAAATGATCATGAACACCCATGAGAAGGAAAGTCAACTTTCTGTTGAGAGTCTGTTGCCAATGAAGCCCACACCAGCTTCCCAGCTATCAGGCAGGACACTGAGGAGAACTTCCTTCGTCTCCTTTGAATGCAGCCTGAGAACGCCATCACTAAAGAGGACCGGGTTTAAAGTTTCATCCATGAAGCACCACACACCCCCATTCCCCGCAATACAGTCAGTCCTCATTTAAAGTTGTAATTGCATTCCTGCCAAGCATGACTTTAAGTGAAGCAATTTTAAGTGAGTCATGGTTTCCCATTGGAATCAATGTTAAAGCCAATGTTAAGTTCCTGCAGACATTTCTAGCCCAGAAAGGCCAAAGTACAAGTTGAAATAATGTGCAGTGCTGTGCATTTCCAGCTTAAATGACTTGCAAAGTCTAATCAATCAGTGAATGTAAAGCAAACACTGTACTGTCACAGGATTCTGCCTCCTCAAGGGTACATCCTGTATTTTTCACCCAACTGAACCCTGAAGCAAAGGAAGCAATGTAACTGCACAGTCTACAGCAGCAAGCACCCCTTAGACTTCTGTGTCTTCTCTGTCTTTCCCACAACATGCAATCCTGAAATTCCAAAATTCAAGTCAGCTTGAGGTAAGTAAAAGCCTTTAAGTTAGAGGTGAACAGCCCAGCCTTCTTGCTTGCAAATAAAACAAAATCTTTACTTTGCCTTCTGCACGGATCTGTCTTCTTTAGAAGTTTGGCTCTGGGTTTTGTTTAAAAGCTCAGAATTGCCTGAAGCACGGATACCTTACTTGGGAATGTTACTGTCCTGGCTCTGACACTTGATTTTGTGGAATGTCACACTGAGGACATGCCAGATGATAAAACCCAATACAGGTGATGACTCAAAACAACTTTAAACAGAGGGTGGGGGCTTCATTTAGAGAAAACCGAATCGCATTCAGCAGGGGTCTTCCCTCCACCTCACCTCCTGGTGCGAACACTGGGAACTTAAACGTGGGTTTTGTGGTCTGTTCCCTGGAGTGGGATTCCAACCCATACCTTTTGGACCCAGGGATCTGTTTTTATTAATACCACTGGATGTGGCAGACGGTGTGACCATAGGGAACAGTCTCCATGACATTGCTCACAATGGGCTTAATATTTCATCAGTCGATTCTAACCTGATCCTGTACCCTCCCAACACTTTAGTGTTAATCCTCTTAAGTTTTCTATGACCTTCCATTGGAAATCAGCGCTCCCTGTGGATTTTCCATTACACTTTCTACCTAAATCTGAGCCATCAACAGAATGGAGCCAATTTTTTGTCATGTTCACAGTTGTACAGTTGATTGATTTATCTGGCATCGAAGGAACAGTATGTCAGACTGCCTCATGGTTTGAAAGCCTTCCAAATAACTTAATTAGTCAAAATAAAAGTGAACAATTTGGGCAGAGCAAAATCCTTACCACCACGTGAAAAATATCAAACAAAGTGCAGCATTAGGCACTGAGAGAGGAGGACGGTGAAGAAAGGGAAGGTAAAGAGAGAGTCTCTGTCCTTTAACCCTCCAACACTTCTTTTTGGATCTTCTATCAGGGTCTTGATAAGATGCTCCACCTTCTAACTCAGCACTCGCTTCTGTTGTAACATCAGTGTCATTTCCTTCAGGCACATAACCTCTCTCTCTCTCTCTCTCTCTCAGCTCAGATCCCTTTCTCCATTTTCTTTCTCGTTGCAATCTCCAGGATACAGCAGCTGACAGAAAGCCCTCATGACAGTACCGAGGTTAAAACACATCCACAGTTTTATTTTTCTCAAATCATACAAACGATTCTCTATCCTCAACCTAAGATCCTGAGCCTTTGTTGCTGAGGATGAATTTCTACCACCAGAGGGTGGTTAATCTGTGAAACTCTTTGCTGCAGAGGGATATGGAGACCAAGTCATTGAGTGTATTTAAGACGGAGATAGATAGATTTTTGATTGCTAAGGGGATCAAGGGTTACAGGGAAAAGGGTGGAGAATGGGGTTGAGAAACATACCAACCATGATCGCATGGCTGAGCAGACTCGATGGGCCAAATGGCATAATTCTGCTGCTATATCATGAGACCTTTATGGTTTTGTTCTGAGGGCTCACACACACTCTTTATTCCCTTCAAGTGAACTGACCATGTGTAAAGCCTTGTGTTTCCTTGGGAACAAACTGTTTCTCCCTTGGATTAGCACAGCACAGGGTTCAGGTCCACCAAAGGGACACACAGGAATTGCATTGACTGCTTATCGAGATGGTTACAAGAGAGTGAAGAGTGTTTCATTTGCTCATATTGAAAACTTGATGAAAAGTTATATCAAGTGTAGTTTTATATCGACAGGAAATTTCTTTTCATTGAGATTCTGGAAGAGCTTTCATTTTTGCTTCTTCATGAGATGCATTTATTGTCCATCCTTAATTGCCAAAATGGCAGGTGCTGTGGCCCTGGAGTCACATGTAGGCCAGACCAGGTAAAGACGACAGATTTCCTTCCTTAAAGGATAAGTGGTGAACCAGATGGGGTTTTTATTACAATCAACAATGGTCACCACTAGGCAAAATTGTTACTTAACTGAATTCAAATTTTTACCATCTGCTTTGGTGAGATTCAAATCTACGTTCTTGGACCGTTAGCCTGGCATTCTTGATTACCAGTCCAGTGACATTTTCAATGCATCACTGCCTCCTCTATGATCTTGAATGTTCTGCTTGAAAAGATGGTGGAAGTAGTTTCAAAAGCATTATACTTCATTGCATAGTTTTTAAGGCCATTCTTCCCAAAGGTCTGTCCTAGTTATTAAGTTCTATATGAGCCAGCTCCCACCATATCCTTCTATCCCTTTCTCCCCCATTTATATCTGGATTCTCCTTCCATCTCTGTCCGGTCTTTGTACCAATCATTCCCCGAGGCAGCAAAATCCACTTTCTATCCTCATTCAGGGTAGACTGGGTTCACTGAATTCCCAAAAGGATTCATGCATGACTACGTTATTATTAATTGTCCCTGATTCTGGGTCTCCCAACTCAAGTGCAAACAGTCTGGGTGAGGGAAGATGTTTCTGTTAGAGGGATCAGAGTGAGTTAGCAAGAGTGCTCCGAGCTGTACAAACCCGCAGGAGTCACCAGGATGATTTGAGATGATGGATAACACACAGATCCCGAGAATCTCACAGCACAGAGGAAAGCCATCATGACTATTAGCTCTTTGAAGGAGCTATCCAATTAGACCCACTTGCCTGTTCTTTCCCCATAACTCTGTACTTTCTTCCCAATTTAAGCATATATTCCTTCTTAATGGTTCCTATTGAATCTGCTTCCACTGCCCTTTCTGACAGCTCGTTAGAGATTGTAACTCATGGAATATAAAATAAATCCTCTGTTCTTTTGTTTATTATTAAATGTATCTCCTTCAGTTGGAAATGCTTCTTGTCAGTGGGACTTACTCCTAACTTACTCCTCATGATTTGTGTTAAAATCCCCTGAACCTTCTCTGCAG